GGTTCTATTTGTTGTGAAATCGTGAGTCAATTTTGCTCCGTGTAAAGCTATTGTGAGGACATTATATCTTATCCTATTATCTTTATTTACCTTCACTTTTGCGTGAGCTTAATACAAGGCACGCATTTTTGTCACAGTCATTTTCTTACCTGGTGCGTGAAAATCAACATTATTGTATAGAGTTGGGTAAACTTGACCTAAAAGCATAATCATCTTCTTTTTGTTATTATTTTACCATCAATATTCACTCTTGAAATGTTCAGTGTGTAGTTTTTGTTTTTGTTTGATTTGGGTTTTACGTCACACCGACACAGTATAGGTCATTTGGCGACGTTCCAGCTTTACTGGTGGAGGAAGACCACCGACGTTCCGTAAGCTAGCTGATAGCTTCCTCACATGAAAGAATCTAAAGTCCCTGTCGGGATTCAAACCCACAGCGGTGAGACGCAAGTGGTTTGAAGTCAACGACCTTAACCACTCGGCCACGGACGGCCCCAGTGTGTAGTGAATCGCTAACATATACTATATGAGCATGATCCCGTTTTTTTTTTATCTTTTACAAGATGAGACAAACCATTTTTGATATACTTTATACTTACATAAGGCCAGCGGTTAACCAAACACTTAATTTGTTTTTGTTGTTGTTGTTGCTTTTTTGTGTTTTTGTGTTTTGACTTTTTAATATTAATACAATGATATGAGGCTTGTGATATATTGAAAACATGTGAACAGTAATAGATAAGTTAAACATTTTCAAATGAAGGGGTGTTACAGTCAAGATGATTTAATGGAAGTTCTCAATGATGCGGAATCAATAATTCACTACGAATCTCATAAAATTAATTTTGGTTGGTTTTGTAAATCTGAAATTTACTGAACCATAAGCTACTTCCTTATTTAACAAATCTTATTTAAAATCATAGCGGAACGTTTGTCCCACTAAATGTGATGATGATATTATCTTTTATTGATAAACGATATATGACAAATCTGAGTGTTGACAATAATCATACAATTATCAATGATTAATTGATTGATTACACGTGATAAACTCCAGGTAAATATGAGATTACTACCTTTAAATGCATACTTTTTCTCTCTATCTTTTTTTCTAAATAATACATAAGATATTTATCGATTAAAATTCTATGTTTCTACCACTTATAAAACATCTACCTTAAGCATTTGTAAGTCCATTTCGAAATCGTCGCGTACCTTAAATCTTTATTTAAATTGTTAAAAGATGCCTATATAATCACGTTGTTTATTTGAAAACAAAGTGTCATATAACCACGTTGTCTAATTAAAAAGAAAGTGTCATATAACCACGTTGTCGAATTAAAAACAAAGAGTAATATAATAATGTTGTCTCATTGAAAAATAAAGTGTTATATAACCACGTTGTCTTATTGAAAATAAAATGTTGTATAACCACGTTGTCTAATTATAAATTAAAGTGTAATATAAACGCGTTGTTTATTTGAAAATAAAGTGTTATGTAAACACGATGTTTATTTGAAAACAAAGTGTTATATAGCCACGTTGTCTAATTGAAACGAACGTGTCATGTAACTTCGTTGTTTAATTGAAAACAAAGTGTTAAATAGCTACGTTGTGGTACTGAAAACAAAGTGCTATATAACCACAATGATTAACTGAAAACAAAGTGTTATATAAACACGTTGTCTAATTGAAAACAAAGTGTTATATAACAACGTGTCAAATAATAAACAAAGTGCTATATAACCACGTGTCTAATAGAAACATGACATTGAATGTGTGTTGCGACTTCAAACCAATCCCTTTCATGTTATGGATAAAGATTTATGTTATTTTAGGTATTTATCATTCTGAACACATGAGCAAACGAATGGTGGGGATATAAAAATGAAGAATACTTTGCTGGGACTAGTTTTACTTTTATGTGACACAGGTATGTTTTAATAATCATCATAATCAGCATATGACTAGTTTTATATTACATAACAGCATACAGGTTCACTTTCGTGTATAAACATTTCTAAATTATGAGTAAAACGTAATCATGTAATTTCAATAAATTAACACTTGCGATGATTATTTTATTTCATTTGACTCTGATGTACACATTTCGTATTGAGCAATAGTGTATAACATCAAATAAAAATGTTTTGTAACTATTAAATGCATGAAGAGAAATGATAATGCATTTTCGACTAAACACTTGAAGATTGTATATGTATATCTACGCTAAGGTAAAATAACTACTATTACACTTCATTTCCCATTTTTACAAATTCTAAATATAATAGATTTCTTTTTATATATATACATTCACATTCATTACATATTACTCGGTCGGTATGTGTGCTTTATCATTAGATTAAGAACTCCGTTAAAAGCTTGCACTCACCCCACCCTACATATTTTATATGTTCATTTACAATTTTATCTTGACTTCCACATTTATTTATTTTCATAGACTCTATCGCACATATTGTCACGCCGCAGATTGTTCTTGTAAGAAACATATTTCAATACTTTAATTTTTGATCAGAATTCTTATCAGACGTTTTAGAATTTTTTAAGTAACTTAAAGTCAAAAGAGATTTGGTATCAACTTTTTTGAATTATTATACACCGTTGTTTAGAAGCCGTAACAAAATAATAATTTCACAATTTCACTTACATCTTTAAGTTGTAGCACTGAATGAATGTGGCAGGTGTAACTGTTGTATAAATTGAACTTCAAGATGTGAATACAACAATAATGAAGACGGTGTTTGTTTGGATGGTTGCATTGACGGATATTATAGTGACAGTTGTAATACATGCTTGTAGTAACAATTGTGTGACATGTTCTGGTGTAAGCAGTTGTAACACATGCAAAAATGGCTACTATATTGGCCGTAAATATGATGATAATAAATATGAAGACGATTGTAGTTTATCGTGCCCGGACAACTGCATTTCATGCACTTCTTATTATAACTGTAGCATATGTAATGATGGATTTTACAATGGTAGACAATATCCATCAAGTGATGTTGTAGCCTACGATTGTCAACATGCTTGCAGTAGCAATTGTGCAACATGTTCTGGTCCAAGCAGTTGTAACACATGCAAAAATGGCTTCTATATTGGTCGTAATCCGGAAAATAATAAATATACAGAAGATTGTAGTATATCATGCCCGGACACCTGTATTTCATGCACTTCATATTATAACTGTAGCAAATGCAATGATGGATATTACAATGGAAGACAATACCCATCAAGCAATGTTGTAACCAACAAATGTCAACATTAATGTAGAGATAGTTGTATATCATGTACATCATACGATAATTGTACACAATGTAAAACTGGGTTTACAGGTGATCTATGTGATAATTGTGAGGTAGGGAAGAACGGGAGTGTCGACTGCGTTAATTCGTGTTCTGTAGGTTGTGAAAATAAAAACTGTACTTATACTGGGGAATGTCCTAGGTGTAAGGAGAGATTTACCGGGGTTAAATGTGATAGATGTGTCGATGGTAAGTTCGGGAATCTCTGTGACCAAATCTGTCCACTTACCTGTTTAGCATGTTCTTCATTGACAAATTGTTCCGCATGTATTGAAAAGCACTGGGGAAATAGCTGTCAACAATGTCCCACAAACTGCTTAAATTGCTCTTCCAATAACATTTGCTCATCATGTGAGAAAGGATTCCATGGACAAATATGTAATAAACAATGCAATGTTAATTGCCTTGTTGGTCGCTGTGATCAACTGTCTGGAAACTGCAATGACGGATGTGTCGCTGGCTTTTACGGGAACCTTTGTGATATGAAATGCAGCAATGACTGTGTGAATTTAACATGTGACAGAGTACATGGGAACTGCAAGACAGGATACAACGGTAAAATGTTTTCTATTTTATAAACAGTATAACATCTTACACAAACTAACACATTAAGCAAGCAAGTAAGTGAATGAGTCAATAAGAATAATTATGATAAGAGTAATTATAACAATTTTACCGATTAAAACAATAATAACAATAGTAATAACAACAATATTTTTCAATTTGAAATAAAGATAGCATGTTATTAAATAACTATACGTCATTAGACCTATAAAAAGATTTACCTGCCACGTTCAATAACACAATAGCCTGCCTTAAAACAGGGCCAATATCTATATAACTTTTTCGGCCCCGGGCCGAAAAGTGATTTAGATATAAAGCCCGCATTTGAAGTAATTTGATTGGCTAATAAAGCAGGGCAAAAAAATGATATAGATTTCTGCAGGAAACTGGAAAATGGCAGCCATTTTGTTTTATCTCGGATTTTTTATTAACATTAAGGACCCGAAACAAATTATTTGAAACATACTTTTTATCATTCAACAACGGGGTTATGGAACACTATGGAACATTATTCCTTTAGAAATAAGAAATTCTAAAAGTCTTAAATTGTTTCAATAACATTTCAAACATTTATTAATATCAATAAATGAATTATAGACCATATACCTATACTATAATATAAATTTATATCAGGTATGTCTGTCTGTTTCTTTGTTGGAGAAGATGTTACAGTACTGATTGTTATACTAGTAGTAATAATGATAATAATTATAACGACGGATCTAGTTTCAGAAACTTGTGAATAAGATGGCAGCATATAGTTATTAAAATATCTCAATCACATTTACTTTGCATCAAATCTAAATCTATCAAATATTATCTTTAAAATACAAAATGTTTATTCACAAATGAATAATATATCATGCGCTTGCATATAAGATGTTCTTATATAATGATGAAAGTTTTTAGACAAATTCTAAAATTTGAAACCGAGTCTGCAATTCTTATGTAAATTTGTTGTGATTAATGCTTCCGAGGGATCACTTTGTTTCCAGATTTTTATACTTCACAACAACGGGTGTCAAGGGCCCCGTACTTAACTTCAGTGTTGTTAAATTTTTGCTGGTCTTCGGGATCATTGTGTAAATTTAAACAAGAAAGCAAATAAATAAAGCTTAAATTGAAGTCAATATTATTGTTAATTAACCCTAAATATATCATGCGAAATGATTCATAAATGTTTAGGACACTTTAAAATGATTGTGAAGTTTGCCTCAATCCTGGTGGTACAAAGATTTACTGTTTATATAAAAAAGTAAGATTTGCCTAGTATATAATAATTATGCAGAAACCTTTTGTTATTCTTTATGAAACTTGTAGACTCAAAAGATTAGAGAATAGCAACACTGCTTTGGGATGCAATAGAGACCTGAGCTACTACAATGTAAATAAAGCCTTTGTTGGAGGTAGGTGGTTTATATAACTACCTTTTTAACTTTTGTTTCTTCTGAATTAAAAATAAATTCTTCTTTTGATCCTTGTTTCATAATTTTGAATCATAAATTTGTTTAATTATAGTTAACATGTCAAGCAAATAAAATGCAATGCACGATATTTTCAACAGATGTATAGGTACGGAGGGAAATTAACCGTAGAATCGCAGTATATTCAGCAAAGTTTTTAAGAAAGACATCAATATAAAGGCATATATCTACTGAACATTGTAAAATTTAAACGAAGAAAATCGAATGAGAATTAATTAAAGCATACATATAGATAAAAAGACGCAATTCTGCCGCCGCCGATAGGGGTGCGCTTTTGGGTCATATTAACGCTCTTTCTTTACAAAATAAAGCTGCAGAATTAAAACTATCTATCAACATGTTTGCATATCAATAATAAAGATCTGAGATGGTGTCCAATTTTGGTCGGAAAGTAGCGAGTTACCTTTCGACATATATATATTTTGTGATATAGCTCAATTGCTATGGAAAGCCAACGTTTCATCATATAGTTTATATCTTTGTTAAAGTTAGGTATGATTTGTATCAAACTATAGTAAGAAATATGTTAACGTAGATAAAATACTAAATTGAATTTAAAAGTGTGCAGAATGTGATTTTTTATTAACGGAAACTTAAACAGATTGTAACTATTGCAGCCACTACCGACACAGACACGAGACCAGCTGATGTTTACCAACCTACAACTGTGTATGATACCGATACTCACACGAGACAAGCTGACGTCAACCAACCTACATCTGTGTATGAAAGTCTAACAGCTACCGGTGTAAACCGGTTCGCTGATTATAGTTCGCTAGAGCTACAGGTAATATTTCTAAAAGTTTACGATTAAACACATTATGTTAGCTGATTTTAGTTCTTTGAAGTTATAGGTATGTTTTGATAAAAAAGGATAGATCATGTAAATAACAGTCAATAAATCGTTTAGTCTTTTTATCAACTGTGCATGCGAGCATTCGTGTAATTGAAACTAGTTACGAAACTTAAGAACTTTCTCATTCTCTTTATTAGTATATAATTGTATTCCACTTTCCTTTTATGCAATATCTGTATTTTTTTGTTTTACAAGGATGTGCCAACATTAGAATTGCCGAATGATCACACAGTCAAATTAGATCCTGGAGTCCAATACTACAATGTATCGGCAAAATAAAGAAGTATTTTGTAATGTTTTGAATGGAAAACAAATGTTAACAAATTGACAAAGAAAGAAAAACAGCAAAAGAAACCCCCAAAACAACAGCAACAGCAACAAAATTAAAGATGATCTGCAGGATTACTTTGCGGATTGTTTTTGAATTTGTAAATAATATTTAAGGAACAGAAAAATATAACAACATCAATATTGTAAACGAAAAGATCACCTTTGAGATTTTTCAGGATTTTCCTCTGAAGTGTAACAGCAAAGTTTTGATTTCTCTACAGAAAGTCTCTGTTGTTCATTTTTTCGTAGCCATTGCCGAGGTACTTTTCATTTGAAGATGAACAGTAAAAAGCACGTGTCATGTTTCTAAAATGTACTTGAGGTTTTCGGGTCGTTTCACAATTATTTTGCAAAGCTTAATCTGTAAAATGTAACAGTTTAGTTGCGATGCATGAAGCAAAACTTCAAATAACATTAATGATAAGAAACAAATCATCAAGAATGGCCAGTTTCTATGTAGTTCCGTAAATCTGTTTTTCTAGACAAAAATCCTGAAATCACTGCATAATAATGCAATCGTTAATGATTCTAGTTATTGAGATGGAGCCGACTAAAAGAATGACAACTCTTATATATCAATCTGTCTTAAGTACGTGACAGTTAATCCTCTTTAGCATGTCAAGGAAAACATTTATCTTAAATAATTGAGACATCTGCACTTTTGTTATCAGCTTGATACAATTTCTGATAGCTAACACATTTACTGTTAACGACATTAAGTATATAAATGATAATAATTCAGTCATAACATAAATGTATAATTTGGGCTCAATGTTGGTACACATAAATCTTGCTTTAGTGTACAAGTTTAATTATTTTACTATTTTAATAAACCGTAACACACTCCAGGTGCTCATACAGAGCTGTCTTACGTTAAAAAATTTTCATTTTGGCTCCGGGACCTCTTTCGTGAAGCCATTTTGACTAATCACATAATCACATGTGCTATCTTTTTTCACTCCGACATCAATTTCGTACACAGTGGTACAATGTGGTAAAGACTCTTGCAAAGGTTCTATTTGTTGTGAAATCGTGAGTCAATTTTGCTCCGTGTAAAGCTATTGTGAGGACATCATATCTTATCCTATTATCTTTATTTACCTTCACTTTTGCGTGAGCTTAATACAAGGCACGCATTTTTGTCACAGTCATTTTCTTACCTGGTGCGTGAAAATCAACATTATTGTATAGAGTTGGGTAAACTTGAGTTAAAAGCATAATCATCTTCTTTTTGTTATTATTTTACCATCAATATTCACTCTTAAAATGTTCAGTGTGTAGTTTTTGTTTTTGTTTGATTTGGGTTTTACGTCACACCGACACAGTATAGGTCATTTGGCGACGTTCCAGCTTTACTGGTGGTGGAAGACCTCAGGTGCCCCTCCGTGCATTTTTCAGGCACGAACGGGCACCTGAGTAGGACCACCGACGTTCCGTAAGCTAGCTGGATAGCTTCCTCACATGAACGAATCCAAAGTCCCTGTCTTGATTCGAACCCACAGCGGTGAGGGGCAAGGGGTTTGAAGTCAACGACCTTAACCACTCGGCTACGGACGCCCCAGGAGTGTAGTGAATTGCTATTGCTGTAATATATACTATACTCGTATGTGCATGAGCATGATCCCGGTTTTTTTCTTTTACAAGATGAAACAAATCAGTTTTGATATACTTTATACTAACAAAAGGCCAGCGGTTAACCAAACACTTAATTTGTTGTTTTTTGTTGTTGTTGTTGCTGTTGTTGCTCTTTTGTCTTTTCCCCTGACTTTTTAATATTAATACAATGATATGAGGCTTGTAATATATTGAAAACATGTGAAAGTTAAAGATAAATTAAACTTAAAATACTTTTCAAATGAAGGTGTGTTACAGTCAAGATGATTTAATGAAAGTTCTCAATGATGCGGAATCAATAATTCAGTATGAATCTCATACAACATTTACTTTTAAATTAGTTTTGGTTGGTTTCGTCAATTCAAAATTTACTGAACCATAAGCTACTTCCTTATTTTAACAAATTTTATTTGAAATCATAGCGGAACGTTTGTCCTATACTTAATGTGATGATGATATTTTTTTATATTGATAAATGATATATGACAAATCTGAGTGTTGATAGTAATCATACAACTATCAAAGACTAATTGATTGATTAAACGTGATTAACTCCAGGTAAATATGCGATTACTTCATTTAAATGCATACTTTTCTCTCTCTCTTCTTTTTTCTAAGTAATTACATATGATATTTATTGATAAAAATTCTATGTTTGTTCCACTTATAATACCTCTACATTTAGCATTTGTAAATCAATTTCGAAATCGTCGCGTACCATCAATCTCTATTTAAATTGTTAAAAGATGTCTATATAGCAAAGTTGTCTATTTGAAAACAAAGTGTTATATATCCACAATGTTTATTTAAAAACAAAGTGTTATATGACCACGTTGTCTACTTGAAAAACAAAGTGCTATATAACCACGTTGTCTAACTGGAAACAAAGTGTTATATAAACACGTAATGTAACTGAAAACAAAGTGTTATATAAGCACGTTGTCTTACGAAAAAAAAGTATTGTGTCAACACGTTTCAAATTATAAACAAAATGCTATATAACCACGCGTCTAATTGAATCATGACATTTAATGTTTGTTGCGACTTCAAATCAATCAGTTTCATGTTATAGATAAAGATTTATGTCATTTTAGGTCTTTTTTCATTCTAAACACATGAGCAAATGAATGTTGGAGATATAAAAATGAAGAATACTTTGCTGGGACTAGTTTTACTTTTATGTGACACAGGTATGTTTTAAATATTATTATAATCAGCATATGACTACTTTTATATTACATACCTAGTATAATATCAAATAAAATGTTTTGTTACTATAACATGCATGAAGAGAAATGATAATGCATTTTCGACTAAACACTTGAAGATTGTATATGTATATCTACGCGAAAGTAAAATAAATTACTTTATTTCCCATTTTCACAAATTTTAAATATAACAGAATTTTTTTTTATAAATACAACCACTTACATGTTACTCGGCCGGTATGCGTGCTTTATCACTAGATTAAAGAACTCCATTTAAAGCTTGCCCAACCACTCTCTGTATATTTTATGTCCATTTACAATTTTATCTTGTCTTCCACATTTATTTATTTTAATAGACTCTATCGCACAGAATCAGAATCACATGTTTATGAAAAATTTAAATAAGTCAAAAGAGAGTATCAAGTTATTTGAAATGTTGTACATTGTTGTTAAGAAGCCGTAACAAAATAATAATTTTTCACTTTTTCCCTTACATCTTTAAGTTCTAGCATTGAATGAATGTGGGAGGTGTAACTGTTGCATAAATGGAACTTCAAGATGTGAATACAACAATAATGAAGACGGTGTTTGCTTGGATGGTTGTATTGACGGATATTATACTTACAGTTGTATACATGCTTGTAGTAACAATTGTGTGACATGTTCTGGTCCAAGCAGTTGTAACACATGCAAAAATGGCTTCTATATTGGTCGTAATCCGGAAAATAATCAATATGCAGAAGATTGTAGTTTATCGTGCCCGGACAACTGTATTTCATGCACTTCATATTATAACTGTAGCAAATGTAATGATGGATATTACAATGGGAGACAATACCCATCCAGCGATGTTGTAACCTACAATTGTCAACATAAATGTAGAGATAATTGTATATCATGTACATCATACGATATTTGCACAAAATGTAAAACTGGGTTTACAGGTGATCTATGTGATAATTGTGAGGTAGGGAAGAACGGGAGTGTCGACTGCGTTAATTCGTGTTCCGTAGGCTGTGAAAATAAAAACTGTACTTATAGTGGGGAATGTCCAAGCTGTAAGGAGGGATTTACCGGGGTTAAATGTGATAGATGCATCGACGGTAAGTTCGGGAATCTATGTGACCAAAACTGTCCACTTACCTGTTTAGCATGTTATTCAATGACAAATTGTTCCGCATGTATTGAAAAGCACTGGGGAAACAGCTGTCAACAATGTCCCAACAACTGCTTTAATTGTTCCTCAAATAGCACTTGCTCATCATGTGACAAAGGATTTCATGGACAAATATGTAATAAACAATGCAATGTTAACTGTCTTGATGGTCGCTGTGACCAACTGTCTGGAAACTGCAATGACGGATGTGTCGCTGGGTTTTACGGGAACTTTTGTGATATGAAATGCGGCAATGACTGTGTGAATTTAACATGTAACAAGGTACATGGAAAGTGCTTACAAGGATGCAAGACAGGATACAACGGTATAAGGTTTACTATTTAATAAACAGTATAACATCTTACACAAACTAACACATTAAGCAAGCAAGTAAGTAAATGAGTCAATAAGAATAATTATTACGAGTAATTATAAAAATTTTACCGATTAAAACAACAATAACAAAAGTAATAAAAACAATATTTTTTTTCAATTTGAAATAAAGATATTCTTTTAAAAATGGAGCAGAAGTAAAAGAAAAGCTCATATTTAGCCTGTTTATACTTATAAACTTATGCGGGCTGGGTGAAATAATGAACTCACAAAAAGTTATCGCTGTAAATATATTATATCACTATTTTTATACTAGTAGAAATAATGATAATAATTATTATTATACACATGTAGATAAAATAAGTTAACAAAGAATTAAAGACATTGCACATTTTTCATATGTTATGTATTTTTATCGTTTTATTTAATACAACAGCTATAAATTCAGCGACTGGAAATGAAGACACTAAAGGAGTAATAATAGGTGCTGCTGTAAGTGGTTGTATTCTCCTGATAATAATAGTGGTACTTGTTGCTGCTGTGGTCCTCCTGGCAAGAAGGTAAAATACCAGAACAATAATACATAAATGAAATAAATATATGTTTTAAATTATGCCATCAGTTTTTTATCCTTAATTCAATAAATCGGAAATAAAATTATTTATAAATGTTAAGGACACTTTAAAATTGTAGTGAATCCTGGTGGTGCAAAGATTTTCTGGTGGCTGTTTATATAAAAAAGTGAGATTTGCATAGTATATATTATGCAGAAAACTATTGTTATTCTTTTTGAGACTTGTAGACTCAAAAGATTAGAAAATAGCAACACTGATTTGGGATCCAATAAAGACTTGAGCTACTACAATGTTAATAAATCCTTTGTTGGAGGTAGGTTGTTTATATAACTACCTTTTTAACTTTTGTTTCTTCTGAATTAAAATAAATCCTTCTTTTGACCATTGAATCATAACTTTGCATCATAAATTCGTTTAACTATAGTTTACATGTCAAACAAATAAAATGCAATGCACGATATTTTCAACAGATGTATAGGTACGGAGGGAAATGAACCGTTGAATCGCAGTATATTCAGCAAAGTTTATAGAAAGACATCAGTATAAAGGCATACGTCTACTGAACATTATAAAATTTAAAAGGAAAATCGAATGAGAATTGATAAAAACAGATATAGATAAAAAGACACACTTCTGCCGCCGCCGCTAGGGGGCGCTTTGATGTCATATTATCGCTCTTTCTTTACGAAATAAAGCTGCGGAAGGAAAGCTTACATATTAACATGTATGTATACCAAAAATCTCCAACATCTGAGATGTTGTCCAAAAAGTAGCTAGCTACCCTAAAACATAAATATATTTTTGTGATAAACCTCTATGGAAAGCCAACGTCTCATCATATAGTTTATATCTTGCGATTTGTATCAAACTATAGTACTTAAGAAAAATGCTAACTTAGATTCCATTCTTTATTGAATTTCAAAGTGTGCAGAATGTGATTTTATGTACGGAAACTTATACATAATTGTAACAATTGCAGCCAATATCGACACAGACACGAGACCAGCTGACGTTAACCAACCTAGAAATGTGTATGATACCAACACAGACACGGGACAAGCTGATGTTAATCAACCTACAACTGTGTATGAAAGTTTAACCACTACTGATGTAAACCGGTTCACTGATTATAGTTCTCTACAGCTACAGGTAATTTTTCTAAAAAGTTTACGATTAAATACATACTGTTAGCTTATTTTAGTTCTTTGAAGTTATAGGTATGTTTTAATAAAAAAGGATAGATCATGTAAATAACATTCAATAAATCGTTTAGTCTTTTTATCAACTGTGCATGCAAGCATAATGCTTATTGAAACTATTACAAAACTTAAGAACTTTCTCATTCTCTTTATTAGGATATAAATGTATTCCACTTTCCTTTCATGAAATATCTGTATTTTTTTTCTTTTACAAGGATGTGCCGACACCAGAATTGCCGAATGATCACACAGTCAAATTAGATCCTGCAGTCCAATACTACAATGTATCGGCAAAATAAAGTAGTATTTTGCAATGTTTTGAATGGAAATTAATTAACTAATTGACAAAGGAAGAAAAACAGCAAAAAAAAAACGTACTAAAAACAACAACAAAAAAACATTTAAGATGGTCTTAAGGATTACTTTGCGGAAAATCGCCATATGGCCTCTACTGTGTTCTGGTGACGTAAACCCCAACGAAAAAAATATATTGTAACGACCAAGTACCTAGCTCATTGATATTTTCGGATAAGATGTTTTATCCGACTACTACAACACTACAAACATCCGAGATCTTTCCCGGTCTCCGAATAAATGACAACCAAGATTCCCTTCGTGAATCAATACCTTTTACATATGTAAATATATCCAATGCGCTATTATAGTCCAATTTCATTTTATATATCCATAAAATACGTAAGAAACACGTTTAATTATCAATTAGTTTCCCGGCTGCAGCCATTCCGAATCTAACGGACTTTACCGTTCGCGCATGTTCAAGTTCAGCCGTTCCGAATGTAACGGACTCTATCGTTCACGCTTGTCCGAAACAGAGCCGACTTGGGCTAAATTCTGGCACTGACGTCATCGGCTATATGACGTAGATGCCTGACCCCTGATACTATAAATACTCTGGCGCATGCAATCCGGCTGTCAGTGCCTGGATAGAACTTAGAATAGTAATCAAGCCGATTACAACCTAGAAAATGCCAGCAACTCCTTATTCCAAGGTAATATAATTATTTATGACAGTTTTATTGTGCCTGAATTATTAGCATCAGATATTATATTTTTCCTGACAGTTTATTTTACCCAATTGTATTGTTTGATGTGACATAAGAGAAATACCTATAAATACCAGCTTCCATGGTATTTTATCATAGATTCCATCCTGAAGTTCCAGCTACCATGGAACTACTAGTATAATCATCCTTTTTAATGTAGATGTATTTATATGAACCAATATAAATATAGACAGTTTATTATAAACCATATACCCACATATAACTTGGATGTCATACTTAGCTACTCTACATTGATATAGCTATACCTTGGTTTAGTTCACAGCCTATAGACGAGGATTATCTCAAACCCTTCCAGACGTGGTCCATTGACGAGGATTTTCCAGAATATATACGAATTTAACTGTATTTGATATGAAATCTAAATAAATTATTTGTGTATTTTATTTCAGGTTTTTGTGTTCTGTTTTTCCCTTGTAGGTTCAATTTTTAATGCTCCACGTGCGTTCGAGAAGAACTCACGTCCTGGATATTGTTGCGTGTTTGGGAAGCAGACCCCGACTGCGTTTCAATATGATGTACTACCCCATCTCGAAATTCAGCGTTTAAAAACTTTAAATCTTCCAGCTGCTATTAAATTCAACTCAAGCACGAAATTTGATTGATATCACTTTTGAATTTCGATCTTCGGATTGCCTCGAAATTCAAACTTCAGTCCGAATTTTTGAGATGTTTTAGTTTCGATCAAAGCTCAACGTTAGTTCGAAATTAACCTTCAAAATATTTTAATTTACGATCTCAGAGCTGGCTCGAAAGTCAAAGTAAATACGAACGATTTTAATAAATATCGATTCTAAATTCAAACCAGGTTCAAAATTCAAAGCTGGCTGGGAATTCAAATCAAGCTCGAAATCGGCTATATTGTCGAGGTCCGATGTCAGTGCTCGCTTTTCGTTATTTAAGAAGCATTAATGTTCGTCTTTATTTAGAGCATTCCATTGTTTTATTGCTCACTTAATACTTAGTCTTGACTGAATGCATTCAAGTCAAATACATTGAAGGGAGAGGAACCATACAAATTTTCTTTCGTTCTAATCCCTTTCAATTTTGAGTAACATAAAATGTAAAATATGTAAAATATTGAAATAAATATGTTTAAACTAAATACATTGAAAAATCAAAACGTCCACGGTTTATATATCAAGTTAATATATATAAATTTGATGGTGCGTAAAAATCATGATGATAGTACAGATTTAGGTAAACTTGAGTTAAAAGCATAATCATCTATCTTGTTATTATTTTACCGTCAATATTTACAGTGTGAAGTTAAATTGCTATAGCTGTAACATATACAGTATCAGCATGATGCCGAGATTAAAAATAAATAAAAAAATAAAAAAAATAGATGAACAAATTATTTTTGATATACAGTATACTGACATAAGGCCAGCGGTTAACCAGACACGTAATTGTTTGTTGTTGCTTTTTTGTGCCTTTTTCTGACCTTTTAATACAATGGCATGAGGTTGGTGATATATTGTTATATATAGTTATATTATAATAGTTAAGTTATAATACTTTTCAAACGAAGGTGTGTTACAGTCAAGATGATTTAATGAAAGTTCTCAATGATGCGGAATCAATTATCCAGTATGAATCTCATACAACATTTACTTTTAAATAAGTTTTGGTTGGTTTTGTAAATCTAAAATTTACTGAACCATAAGCTACTTCCTTATTTAACGAATTTTATTTGAAATCATAGCAAAACTTTTGTCCTATTTAATGTGATGATAATATTTTCTTATTAAATACAAAGTGTTAAATACCTTTTTTGTGTAACTGACAACAAAGTGTTATATAAACACGTTGTGTAATGGAAAACAACGTGTTAAATAAACATGTGTCAAATGATAAACAAAGTGCTATATAACCACGTGTCTAATTGAAACATGACCTTTAATGTGTGTTGCGACTTCAAATCAATCATTCTGATGTTATGAATAAATATTTATGTCATTTTAGGTCTTTATCATTCTGAACATATGATAAAATAAACGTTGGGGATATAAAATGAAGACTACTTTGCTGGGACTAGTTTTACTTTTATGTAACACAGGTATGTTTTACACATCATCATAATCAGCATATGACTACTTTTATATTACATAACAGCATACAGGTTCACTTTTGTGTATAATCATTTCTAAATTGTGAGTAAAATGTAATCATGCATTTTATGCGATGATTATTTTATTTCATTTAACTCTTATGTACACATTTTCTTTGTTAAGCGATGGTGTAAACTATCAAATAACAATGTTAACTGAATGTTTGTTACTATTACATGTATGAAGAGAAATTATAATTCATAAATACTTGAAGATTGTACGTGTATCTCTACGCTGAAGTAAAATAACTATTGTTACAGTTTGTTTCCCATTTTCACAAAATTTAAGTATATCAGAATGTTTTTTATATATACGATCACATTCATTTCATGTTACTCGGTCGGTATGCGTGCTTTATCATTCGTTAATAAAGGCTTACACTCACCACTCTCTGCATATTTTATATGTTCATTAAAAAATTTATCTTATTTATTTTCATAGAATCTATGTAGATATTGCAATGCCGCAGATTGTTCTTTTGATAAACATATTTCAATACTCATTTTGATCAGAATTTTTATCACATGATTATGAAAAGTTTAAATATGTCAAAAGAGAGTATCAAGTTATTTGAAATGTTATACACCGTTGTTT